CAATTTATAGGACCCTTGATACAGATGACTGTGAAACAGTTTAATGTCAGAAAACAAAAGAGAGAGCGATTACTAACTTGTTACCCTTTAAGTCAGAGAGAATTAATGAAAATATTATATTTATAGATAATAAATAACACGAGGTAAAATCAAAACATTTTTCACCAAGATGATGGATATTCCAAGGTAGAGATCGGAGAAGATGAATGAAGGTTTGTACCTACTCCTAATTTGCACTATGAATCCAATCCTATCCACATAGATGTTCTTAGCCATGCGATGAGGGGATGTTTGCATCAAGAGACACCCGAAGGGGCTGGCCATATGGTACCTTGGGAGCCCCAACCCTAATGTTCACGAGGATGTCCAATTAGAAATTTTGAATAGATAGGTATCATAAGTCTTCAACTGTAAAACAAAAGAGAGTCTGATTAACTTCTTAACTTTTACAAAGTTAGGTTCAATGAAATGTGAGCAATTGTTAAGAATGCCAACATGGAAATGCTTAAAATAAGAATCTGGAAAAGGAAAAGTCTGGTAGAGCCTATATCAGTTATGCGTCTCCCATATTCTCAGTTATCTATGAAGTATGGCAGCAAAAAATTTATATCGCTCAGCGGTAAACATATTTTCGAATTATCAAGGATCCTCATTGTACATGTACAGGGTCAGTTACTCATTGCTAATATATCATAGTGATTTATTCACCTGGAGAATAAAAGGCATCACCAAATCAAACAAGATTAACCAGGAGTTAAAAAAAACACTTTTATGTTGGTAAGAAAATAAAAGGAAGATGACCAGCTAATACAACTACTTCTCATCTGAACCGAACTCTATAACTCAGTATAGTGAGAATAATTACAAGGGTCAACAGGGCTTACACTTTGTTAAGTATATGTCTGTCAGATGCATTTGTCAGGAAAATTACAATAGTACAAAATCCTGCCAAGGGTCACCCAACTTTACAGCAATTGCTTAAATGACTGACTTTTGTCCAGATACCAATCCTGAATCCTACTTGAGTCACCATTAGATACTGCAAAGAAGAAACACAAAGGTTATATTTCACCAAGAAAGAAGAGAATTTAAGATAGAAGTGCAGTAAATGACATATCCTGAAGAGCCGAAGCACTCTACATGCACAAGGCTCAGATGTAGAGATATGTCAACTAAGTCCTGTCCCAAAATAAAAAATCTTGATAAACCAAAAACTCACCAAAGATCAAAATCTACTCCAACAACTCTCATGCTGGCCTCCAGTTGAGGGCAGTTACATCCGGTCGGCAAGGCATTCCATGACCTACCACACTAGCAGGTCAGTTCCTTCTCCCAAAAAGCTGAGACTACGAATCGAAAAGCAAATTAAACTATAACAGAAATCCTTGACCAATATATCACCTGAAATTGGAGGACCAGTAGGGAAAGCATTTGATCCAGAAGGTTGGAATCCAACATTACTCACAGATGGTCTATCAGGAGGTCTGAAATAACCTGCCATGGAAGTCACTCGTCAAACTGGCCTATCGCAGAATGGCTATACCATGACTGACAAATCAAATTCAAGATTGCTCCATGTTATCTTTTTAGTTAACAGAAACGTACAAAACTTTTTCCAGCAACAACTTCAACATGTTACCTAGTAAAGAACATAGGTACGTATTGTAGGCCCACAAATGTGAAGAAAGTACAAAACTCCACATTAAAACCGGGCATAGAGACGAAGTGGAATTGGAACAAGAAAAGAAGGAAAGAGGCAGGGTCTACTAAAACTATAAGTGAATTGCCACACCGTCATATGAGTCATTTAACTACATATCCATCAAATGCCATGCCACAAAAGGGATTGAGACGAGCCTCTGCCATAAATATCGAAGGTTAAATTTTAACACGGCAATATTTCTCCAAATTTATTGATGTCTGTTGCTGATCATGATAAGTATATGAGAGAGCTGTATTAGCATCCTCAACTGTGGTGGAATGCCAAACTTCTCTAAGTTGCGTGGACTCTTCGTTTTTGGTGCCGCACCCGCCTCGACACGGGACGGGTGCGGGATACGTCCCGGATTCGGTCAACTAACTTCGGATACTTTGACCCGAGTCCATCGACAAATTTGGGGGAAAAATTGAGATTTTGATTTCTCAAAACTAAAAATAAAATAGATTTAAGATATGGAAATGGCATACCTTCAATATTGTAGTACTTTTGTCTCATATTTGTTGCTGTGTTTCAGAAAAACCAAGAATTCAAGAGATCGTGTTCTAAGTTCGGACTTCTTGTAGATAGTAGCAGCGATATAGATGGAGAGTTGGTGGAAGGCCTTGAATGGCTTTCTTTGTCTCTTTCTACCTTTATTTTTTATAATTTTGAATTTTCTTAGCTGAATCACTGCACCCGTATCCATACCTGGATCCGCACCCCCGTATCTTAAAATTTAGATATTGCCAAATCCAACACTCAGATCCGTGCCCGTATCAGATAGCCACACCCGAGTCCGAGCAACTTAGTCAGTTCTCTTTTAATTAAAAATAAATTTTACAAGAATTCCCGCATACAAGATGTATCCAAACTAGATACTTATCATACAAAACATGACACTCTACTAAAAGCGCACAACAATGAACAAGCAGCAACACCTAACTCGAATTACATGTTTCAGTGGCAATAATAAACAAATCTTAACTATGCCCTGACCAGTGACAGGCAACAGCTAGGTTTTGGTAAGTCACTTGAATGACGTGTTTCAACTGATCCAGTTCTACACTTCACCAAACTTAGAGCTTGTACCAGTTTCAGCACTAACCCATTTAACAACGCAGATAAAAGACAGCCAGTATGAGCATTATATGCAGGTTCAAGAATTTGAAAAATATTTCCTAACAAAATTCATGAGTACGGGAAATTTGCTAAGAGCTAGTAAAAATTTATTTAATCCAACTCCTGCCACTTTGCTTCCCATGTAAATTAACGAAAGCACAAAGAATGAGACAAACCTTCCTGAGCAATAGTTGGACCAGGACATGCTCTTCCTGTACCAATCCATATACCGCGCTGGTGGTCACCATTAAACTCATTGGATTGCACCCTCCATTGTTCATCACCAATATAACGTCTTGAACCATCAGGGCGCTCTGGTAATGAGCATGGTGCAGGATATGCTTGCTGTGGATGCTGCTGCACTGGGGCCCTTGGATACGAAAAACTATTGGAGGGGATTTGATGTGGAGGGTTAAGATGCACGGGCCTTGGGGCAAAAGGTGCACTACCAGGTTGAAATTTCTGTGCGGACTGAGAAACTGGTGGGTTTATATATGCATCATTATAACCATATTCTAAAGGCCGTGAACTATATCCAGAAGGTTCCCGTGAACTACTAACTCCTGCTGGTGTAAAAGAAGGTGGTTGCAATGGGAATACATCATTCCTAATAGAAGCATTGATACAAGGACCATGAGGCATAGTTCCAGCTATCTGCGGTAGCCGATGACCCTGTAAAGGAATACTAACCTTAGTGTTATATAATGAGAGAACATAAATAACTCAAAGCAAGAAGCCTTACACTAGGCAAGCTACCAACTTCATTTGCAAGAGGAGGTTGCGGATATGCCACTACAGGTGATGATGATGGTACTGCTGGAGTGAGAGAGTGTAAGTGTTGTGTCCCTACTTCGTGTTGAAGTGGAAAAGATGGTTGAGGGAACATCAGCGGAGGCGGTCCGGTGGGCAGTGGAGGGAAAGTATGTGGCTGAGATGGAGGTGGTGGGGGTTGTGATATAGGAAGTGGTGGTGGTGGTGGAGGTGGCAATGGAGATGATGGAGGTGGAGGTGGCGCAGGTGATGGAAGGGGTGAAGAAGGCAAAGGTGGAGTGGGAGGAGGAGAACAAGGAGGTAATGGAGGGGATCCCATAGGTAGAGGAGGCAAATCAGATATATTATCAAAACATGATTCCAGGGTTCTATCAGAGCCAGACTGGTTCACATCATCTGCAAATAAAACTCTTTCATCTTTTGGGTGACCAGACACATCTTCCATTTCAAGCTCACCATCCACATCCTCCAAGATACAATGACGCCTGTCACTAGGAATGACCATACATCTTCCAGCACTATCACAAGTTGCAGGTGTACGTTCCACTGCTAATTCCTCAGCAGCTTCTTTTTGAAAATTACAAAGAACATCTTCTTCCTCCTCCTCGTCAAAGACGTGAGAAGATAAAAAGCCAGGCAACTGAAATGTAGCATTGCTGGAAACGCAAATGGGAATAAAATATGTCAGATATTAAAGTAAAAACAGCAGCAATAACAATACTATCACTTTACTGACACCGAAAAAGCAGACGTTGCTACCGATAAGCATATAAACAGAATGCCACAGATTATCAGATAATTATAGAAGTGGAAAGGAGAAATTTTGATGGGCTGATAGATGGAGTTTGTGGCAAAACACAATTGGCTACAATCTTAAACACTGATCTCAAATTGGTTTATGACCCAACAGTCAAGGTCTTACTCCCACAACTAGTCAAATCTGTGGTCTTACTCCCACTCTGAGATTACCATTTGCATCGACAGCAGACAGATAGCATAATAATCATGTGGTGTGCTCAGACCCAAAAACAAAAACTTGACGAACGAGAAGCTTCATAAAATCCATCTCTGAAATTTGTGGCCCAATGCCCCAATGAAAAACAGGGATTCAGATTTTCAGAAATTCAATTAACACTTCCAAAAACAGAGAAAAAAAAATATTTCACACTGATTCCTGTCTCAAACATTCTCCTAACATTCGAATTGGAATCTGAAACAAGAATCAAATACCTATTTCATGAATCAAAAATGAACTTGAAAGGCTCGAACAAATTAAAGAAGCATTGTGGAGCAAATAATAAAATTCCTTTATCAACTACCAACATATATTCAGTGCTATTCCAACATATCCAAATATTTACAGCAAATGCACTCGCAAGGATGGCAGTGGGATAAACCCGATCTCAAATGTATCCATGAGTTAGCTGGAGGAAAACACAATTTAAATTTGGAAAAAAAAAACAAGGAAAAAGGGTGGATTTACGGCTTTTAGAGAGTTTCTCTAAAAGTGAAAAGCAAAAGCCGACAAAGTTCCTGGGGATTTAAGCAAGAAATGAAAAGCAGAAGTCTTAGCATGCACTTTGTGCCTCACTGTCCAAAGCACATGCTTCTTTGAAGTTGCGTTGTGTCCTGAGAAATAATGACCCCTAGCTCACATCTCTTTGTCGCTTGACTTTTAAGTTCTAATAAGACTGGTTTTTAGCTTTAGAGCCAGTTTCTAACCATTCCAAAGAAAAGAGAATCTACAAGTTACAGTCCTACACATGGGACAAACCACTTCAAAGAGGTACGAATAATCGCCTTCATCCCTATCCGAAACTGATAAGTGGTTTGTAGATTCACATCCAAAACTTCTTTCAGTCCCAAACAAAAGAATCCGAACTTCTTTCATAAGTGGTTTGCAATATGAATCCTCATATCTTTCTTTAAGCTCAACTCATATTATCACCATGCCAAAATAAAAAAATAGTAGTGAATATATATATATATATATATAAAAATAAAAAAAACATTAAAGGTTCTCTAACAAATTTAAAGCCTATATCTAACTAGTCAGCATCACCTATATGGATCTTTTTCTTCCATTGTGCCCTATCTTTAACTAGTCCACATCAACATCAACACAAAGAATTATACCGAATTCAGATCATGAATAGCAGCGGCAACAATAACAACATAGCAAGTTACAGTGCTTTGCTTTTTTCCAAAACAGCCAATAGAACAATGGGGCGCTATTTCCCAAACTCCCATGACAACCAAACGAAAGTTGATAGCATTTTTTAATAAAATTCATAGCCAAAAATATTTCAAAAGAACAAGGATAAAAGTAAGTTGCCAACCTGCCATACTCATCAACAAGCATGCCTTCCATCTCTCTAATAGGATCATCAATAGCACGCTCAGCTCGAGATGGTCGTCTAAAGGATAAACCACCAGATGAATCATCATTTGCCGCACCGATATCATCCATATGACGGCGAAGAAGAGAATCAGGATATATTTTCCTCTCAAGCCATAATCGCAAAACCTGGCAGAGGAGATGAAATCAACATCATGCAGGATTTTCTTTAAATGACCAACTGGTTCTAGTGTTTGCACAATCACCTTGAGACACTGACGACGGTTTTCTCGGGCACCCACTCCTGGCGGAGCAGCAGCTCCCAAAAGACGAGGCAGTGCTGCTTGAACAGCAGGAATGTATGACGCTCCTGCTATGCCTAAACAAAAAAACACGTAGCAAGGAAAAGAGAATCAAATCTAATTCAAGCACAGATTTCACAATTTTTTCCAAGATTCTAGCAAGTAAATAGATTGAGAAATTACAAAATAATACTCCCTCTGTTTCAGTTTATGGGCCTATTCCCTTTTTAGTCCGTGCCAAAAAGAATTGGCACCGTTACGTGTATGGAAACAATTTACCTTTATGCAATAATTTATTGCCACACAAAATATATGTGTCTCACTTTACACCACAAGTTCAAAAGTCTTCTCTTTTTTCTTAAACTCCGTGCCGAGTCAAATAGGTTCACATAAATTGAAACGGAGTGAGTGTTTCTTAACCGGATCCACTGGGGCGGTTAGATGATTTGATCTTACCACAGAAAGCATCCACCAATCTCCATACAAACCGGACTCCCATAACCTCCGTAATTTAAGGAGATGACTTAGGTCCTTGTTTCTATCTTCTTAGATCAGAAAAATTAGCAAACCAAGCTGAAGAATGGCAGACAACCTACCTTATTTTCAAAATTAGAGATCTCATTTTTTATGGAGGGTTACCAGATATCTTTTTTGGTAGTGTAAAATTTTCAATTCTCTGTCCGATTATATAAGTTAAATGCTTTGGTAAACCTGGTAACATTGTGCAGTGCAGGAATGATGCCTTAAGCAACATCCAATTCCACAATGTAATGTTGCTACTAAATTAGCACAAATCATCCTGGTCACACAGACTGAATTAATAGAGACGGCATCTGTAAAGTATTGGTACCCACATGCTATAGCAAATAACCTAAAACAAGATTTGAGAAAATGAAAATCAGGGAAGAACTCATTAACATATGCAATCCCACAAAACTATGTGCAGAGATGGACTCGGAGATCTCACTTAATGAAGGGAGGTGGGTGGAGAAGGAATTGGTGAAATATGAGAGGAGATGAAAACAAAATTAAGAATCATAAAGGTAGTGTTCTTTGACAAGAATCTTTACCTTTATGACTATGAGAACACTGAGTTATAGAATCCACCAAAAAAAACAGGTCCACTCTGCGATGAAAACTAGCTTCATTTTCCAACTTCCGGATAAGAAGTTCCACGACCTGCATTAAAGAGGGTTGAATGCTCAAGAAGACTACAAAATGTGACAATAAATGTACCCATCACAAAAGTTGCAATATGGAGATATTTTTATTTATGATGATTATTTAGGAAGTTCGACAAGTTACTCAGTTCCTACAAAGTCACTCCACAGAACCCAAATCTTAGTTCCTAGAAAGTCACTCCACAGAACCCACAATTTACTTAATAAGAAAGATTCAAAGCTCCTTTAAGTGGTTCAAATTTCAAAATATTTAAGAAAGAACTTTCAGTAAAAGATTTGTCTAGACTAAAACTGACTTGAAATTATAGAAGAAAAAGAGCAGTTTTGCCAACTAAATCTTGTTTTAGGTTTTCCAAGAAGGCCTACGATATGAGATGTGTGGCAAAGTTAGACTCGTAAAAGGTCTCCGAGCAGGCAAGTCAAAAGCACTTTCATTTGTTGTTTTCTCCCTGCTCACTACTCCCCTTCAATTTTCCCTCGCTTCCTATTTTAGCTTTGACAAAGGGCAGGTACCAGATTTAACCACAAAGCTTTAACCATTTCAGCTAACACAGGGAAGTCCTTACTTTTACTGGTTAAACATTTTAAAAATTCAGATCAATATTACATGAATTGCTATGATCAAACTGACTTGATTTTGCAAGTAAAGAGAGTTTGTTTTACCTGTGAAGCGAGCCTCTCATTCAGTTATCTTGCTGTTTAAGTCTTAATTATTATAGCTTATTAGGTTTGAAAAGGAACCGCGAGACCATCATTTGTCCTGGTTCATGACACTATGCAACTCTTTAAGCTTTGGTTAGAAAGAAGATTTTCATGGAAGAAGCCAAGCTCTAAAAAGCCATTTTGAAAAAGTTTTCCCAATTTACAAGAATGATAAACTCATATAGCAAAAACGAGCCCAGAATGTCCTTGGAATAATTAACAGAAGAAATTTATCCCAATAATCAACATAATGAGAACATGACAATAAGCTCTTAAACTTCATACAGTCATCAGACTCATCACTAAGCACTTCAACTATTTCTGGTCACATCACTCTTGCACCATCGCTTTTACCTCAATTAGCCACTGACACTTCATTCCACTAGATGAACCACAAGGAAATTTAAGATTTTTTCTCCTAAAACCTCCATTTAAATTTCATACACTCGAACCAAAACAACCAGATTACTCCTCTCTTTCTTTCTCTCTCTATCTCTCTTCTCTATCTAACTCTCTTTCTCTAATTAATTGAACTGTTTTTTACAGTTTATGTCTATCCCCTCCTACCTTCTTCTCTTTTCTCCCCATTCTCATTTCTTTCCCTGCATTTTCTCCCTTGTTCCCTTATTGGTGTTACATCAGTCCCGCCGGCAAAAATTATCAAGGCATGAGCAGGAAGGCCAGTAAATAAAGGATCTTATCATGCAGAGATGCACACAAAGAGACAACTCTCACATTCTCGATCAATAAGGCATACTTGTACATGGAAGTACTGCTTTTTACTCGTATTAGACATCTATTAAATGAGAAATGTCAACACAGAGCCTCCCAATAATGACGCAGAAGGAAAATCTCAATCAAACACACCAACTATGCCTCGACACACCACCCTGTGCACCCTTTAACCCCATGATATAAAAGAATAAAAAAGGGCGAACAGAAGGCATGCAGATGAAAAAAGTTGGAAAACACGAACATAACATGAATAAACTTGCATATTATATATTGTGAACCCATAAACACTTCTAGATCTTGTATCAGCACAATGACAGGCAAAGAGGTGAAGAACGACCAGATCAGAATTTCTCACGCAATGAGAAGCCCAAAAGGCAATATCGCAGGACTTATGACTAGTCCATAATGGCATTTAGAAATACTTGTATGAAACTTTTTATCACAAATACAGTTGACGCAAACTTTAGGTATCTACAAGTACGTCACCTAATTTTTCATTCAAGGATCAACACAGATTCTCCTAATATTTTCCTAGCGGACATCAATGCCGAAAACAAATAAAACACGAAAACATAAAAATCGCAGAAGAAACTCATTAAACTTATTATTGTATCAGTTAGAAAGGGCGAAAAAGCATTGCTTACCTCATTAGCAATGCCATACTTCGCACAATCAATTGCTAGACGGGTTGCACGTCCAATACTCTCTTTGGTCCGTGATAATGTTTCTATCATTCCTTCAAAAGCATCACGAGCAACAGCTGCCTCAGTATCGCCGCTGAGTGAGCCCCCAGCGGCCACCAGGCCTGAACTCACTCTCTTCTCCTCATTTTCTTCAGGCTCAGGTGGATTAGTTGATGATAACTGCTGAATCTCAGACGAAGGAGATGAGCGAGGAAACACTAGGACTTCAGTGTGCAGCATGATGCCAGAGCTTAATGGTTGAGAACCAAGAGCTGGATAGGGACTCCCTCCCTGTGATTCAGTATAGGGGGCCAAAGCACCAAGGGTATTACCATGAATGCTCTGTAAGTGAGCTTGCCGCCTTTTAGCCTGAGCAGCTGCTATGAGATTTTTCATGGACATTTGAGGGTCCAGAACTTTGGAATCTATGGAAAAATTAAGCTTGTCATCTCTCACAACTTCCAGCCTGCTTTTGCAACAAAAGTGGAAAATGAACTGTCAATAAGAGGCACCAAAGTTGTTCCTGGCTGGTGTAAAACATTTCCCTTATCAAAAAAATAAATAAATAAATAAATGGCATGTAAGAAAAATCAAATACCAAACGTACCTTTCTGCCCGTGTAGACATACTTTCCACAGGATTACCAGGTACAAGAGCAGGTTCATTCATGGAGGAACTGGACCGAGGAGTTTTTTTCTTTTCACCGGTAGAAGCGATCTTACTTCTTTCATTAATAGGTTGATCATGAGAAAGATTTAAGTTATCAGCACTAGTGCCTGTATTAGATTCAGCTACCAATTTTCTATGCTCGCCCTGTGCTTTAGCAGGTACTTTAGCACCTTTTTGTGGCTCTGCGACTGGTTTTGCAGTGGACCCAGGGGGTTTTTTGGGGGAAACAGTATCACTTTTACCTTCCCTGATCGCTGTTTTCGGAGTTCCCAATTTCACAGGACTACATGAAACACTTGTATCAGTAGGTACACGCTTTTTCTCTACATTTTTCTGAGAAATACGCACAGAAAGTTCTTTGTGTAGTCTGGCAGATGGTGGATGTTCCTTGATAGAGCTATTGTCAATTGTGCCTGAATCTTTCACACCCAGTTGATCATTACTAGCTGTTCCGACAGACAGGTCAGGCTTCTTCACCGAATTAGGGACGCCGGAAACGGCATCCCTTTTAATAGATCCTCCATGAATTGGAGTTTTGGGCTCTTCATTTTCTTCATCCTCACACAAACGAACAGCTCTCCGCTTAGTGGGCAGTTGAGGAACAGGAGAGGAGCTGGACATAGCCTCCATTGCCCGTCGATGGCGCTTTGATGGTGGAAGAATATCTTCTTCACCACAATTATTTGAACCAATAGCACCTTCCTGGAATTTCAGCGTAGTGCGGTCCTCGGCTTTTCCCACTGGTGTTGATTTTTTAACCTCTGATTTCTCCACTTTAGCCTCATCATAATATTTGCTTGAGTGGACTACCTTAGCGGCATCAATGGTCCCATCAGCAGATTTTATCTTCTTAGAAGGATCTGCTATTTCATTGCGTCGCAACACCTGTCCAGGTTCAACTTTCAACTTCTTGCTTGACAACTGAAGTTTTTTCGCCTCAACATGGTCTACAGCAGCATCCACCGTCTCAGGTTTACTATCATTCTGCTTTTTTGCCTTTTTCCTACCATTTGTACCTGACTTAACCTCTGGCAATAACTTTTTTGTACTTTCTTTTTTAACAGTCAGATCACTGGCAGTATCATTAATTCTTTGCTCTTCATCTGCACCCCCAGGCTTCCTCTTCGCCAGCATTGCTTTGTGTCCATTTGCCAGTTGCTTCCGACCACCATCAAGCTGCTTCACATCATAAGATGATGTAGAAGGAAGTAAATCTGGATCAGGAAAATGACTCCTCCTCTCAGCAGATCTCAAGCTATCCTTGTGGATCAATTGCTTATCATGCTCTTCAGGATCTCTATTGTCCTCACTTTGGTTATCATGAGTGCTTTCTGGACTAGGCAATGAATCCAACTCCTTTCCTGAGTTAGAAGTCCTACTGGTAATTGAAACCTTCTTTTTAGAAGATGTCGATGGAGACATATTACCCTCTGAATCATGTGAAACGAAATCAGCTGTCTCATTTTTTATCATCGAGCAGCGCTCTAGTCCAGATCCTTCTACCAGGCTTTTGATATCTGTTTCTAGCTTAGACGTTTTATCCCCATCCATTTTGTCCAACTCAGCAGCAGCATCCACCCTTCCAAAAGAAGCTATTCCACAGTTTGGAGCTGTTTTATAGGCCTCATCTCCTGAAACACTTGAGTCTTTCCGTTGTAACTCTTCGAATTCTTCACAGATTTCCTTCACTGCTTGGGCAAAATATTTAACTGTTTTACCCTGACATCGAGCTGACAGTTTGTTTTTAACCTCAACAGTAATAGCCTGAATATCTGCTGGGGCGACAAATGCTCTGTACAAAGTAAAAGAAAGGGAAGAAAGCATGCTTCAATGACGAACGGAATCTAGAAACGCAGAATACTTTATTTCACATAAGGGTATTCAAATTGTAGACAACTTCATATTTGTTGCCAATTTCACATAACAATTCCTTAAATAAGCACACAAACACAAAATCGTCATATCAAAAACCAAAAAAAGGATACAACGAGACTTAAATATTACAATGATACCACAATGTTAAGGGCTTTAGGCTACTTGAATATGTTACTAAAAATGAATGTAATAAATGGAAAGATCACAAAGCATCGGGATAAATCAGAAGTAAATCCGCACCAGCCAAATTGACTACCAACTATGAAAGAAACCATGTAGTTAGATTACTGAACGAGAAAAAAGAACCAAAAGGGCATGACTACACAAAAGAACGACATATCAATACTCATATCAGTACCTGACGAAATGAGTTATCCTAAACACATCGACAGGTACCAACGCAGCAAGCCGAAGTGAAAAATAACCTTTACTAATTCTGCTAGGAGGTCTGAAGCTAAGACATTTTCAAAGGTAACCAACACAGAACCTCTCTAACTATGTATGCACCTGTTGAGTAAGCATCCAAACCACGCCCCAGATTTCACAGCTCAACGAGCACGACATTTGAATGTCAGTTAAAAGAATGGTGGCAGATGTTACTTGAGCTGCAGTAGCATTTTGTAAAGCATCGTTCCATAAGGAACATAATGAGAAATTCAGTTAAATAAATGTTAGCATACACTCTTCTCTTTCCTTTTTCCCAATAACTGGCCTGGACAGCTACTCCCATATACCAGAAGAAGTTTACAACGCTTGCCTTGCTTCCATATTTCAGTGAAGTTAAGCAAAGAATGTTAAGTGTAAAAGGAAATCCTACAATAAACCATTTATCTTCACAAACAAGCATGGAAAACAGATGCAGGAAGCACTTACATTTCCTCTGTACCATAGAACTGGACAAAATACTTTTTAGGATCAGGAGCTCGATCCCAATCTTCTGGTTTGCTAATCTGGAAAAATTGAAGGTAACATAAATAAAGCCACAACACAAAGCGAGAAAAGGGCAAAACGACAACGCGACGAGCACCGAGACAAAAGCACCAGAACTGACAAAACAACCTCCCGAATGTCCTGTACTACCAAAAAGGACAACCCCAAGATCTAATTGAGAAACAGAAATCAATAAGGAGATTGTTAAAGAAAATAGCAACGTGTCAAAAAGCAAAAAGCGCAATGAATAAGCAAACAAACACCACATTTCAAAGTCTCCGAAACCAATGAACGAAGACCACTTACTCTACTGGTCAGCATAACTTGGAAAACAGGAACACAAAAAGGGACAGATACACAAGTTCCTTACAAAGAGCTTTTCTACCACAATTCACAGCAGAAACAAAATCTCAAGAGCAACAGGAGAGGTAGGAACTTATCAAATGACATCAATTACAAACAAAAAGGAAACAGACAAGCATTCATGGGTATTTAATACCCGTGATAAGAGGTCAAGAAACTAAGCAAATGCATTGCTGATTTGCCTTCATCCTTTCAAATAGAGTTCTCATCTGAAACTTCATGAACTGAAACAAACTAGACAACCCACGAGATCCATTATTTAAAGAAAACCAATATAACTCCTTAATAAGAACTCACATCCAGTTTTACAATTCTCTAAAACAAAGATAGAACAAAACCTCATTCATATGTCAACCAGACCTAAATTTCCAAGAAAAGTCAAGATAAAATCTCAAAAGCTAAATAATACTTATGTACATATCAACTAAATGAAACTTGATATCTTTTCACCACTAAATTCACTCCACACACTTCAAGAACCATTTTCCGAGATTATTATCAAGCTCGAAAAACAATAATCAACTACAGTCAAAAGATTAAGATTAAAGCAACAACCATCAATAAATTTAACTAAACCCTCCTTCATATAACAAAGTACAATTGAGATGAAAATTTGATGAGCATTGCATTGGGGGTTTTGTTTCTTTACCTTAGCAGGCCAAGCAGGGAAGCCTTTAACCTTAGCAAGGACAAGATCACCCACACTCAACTCGCTCGTCGTCTTCACTCCTTTAGCTCCACGTCTACGCCCTGGAGCCATCCCCTAATTCTATCAAAACCCTAGATATATATACTACTCTCCCGCACCAGGTCTCCTTTTGCCGTCCGATCACAAACAAAGCCGGAAATAGAAAACCTAGCTATACTTCCGGCTATGAAGTTTCCGCGACTGTGCTTTTTTCGTTTCAGAATTCGATTGAAAAAGAGTATCATCCACAATTGCAACTGCGGTTAACGAATGAAAAAACCTAGAACTCAGAGAAAAGATATGACAAGAACTTCGCCGGCGGTGAATGGGCGGTCGACGGAGAGCGGAGCATCGGAATCGGCGGAGTTGTACATACAGAGTTGCTGCTCTACATTCGAATTTTGCATTTAGAGAGAGAAAGTGGGTTTGTGTGTGGCGGTGGATGATAGAGCGAGAAAGAGAGAGAAAAGACCGCAGTAATGGTATTGTACGTCGTATATGGAAATGGGACGACGAAAAAGGAAAATAGGTGACCGAAGAGAGGGTATAATGGGGAATTCGTATGGCAACTGCTGACACGTTGCTATTACCTTGGGTTACTTGCGTCTTCATTGATCAAACCATGGTTAACGTGATTTTTGTTCTTATACAATTCTTACTTGGCAAAATACATAGTTTACCTATCAAACTTGCACCGAAATCTCAGTTACACACTTTTTTTTACGGTTAATCTCTTACACACCCAACTTTTTAAAAGCGTGTCGAAAATACACCTTTTTTATTACGTGTCACTCGCGTGTTTTTTACACATAAGAGGCGAGTGGACGATTAAAATTTTGTTTCTAAAGGCTCATTTTGACAGCACTTGTCCAGCCTTTTCATATTTTCATTTTTCTAAATCTTTTTCTACATTTTTTAGAATAAAAAATTCACTATTCTTTTTCATCTTTTTACATTACTGCAGCATCGCTTCTTATACCACCATACCACAAAATATATTTGCCAAGATTTAGAGGAGGATAAAAAAAAATAGAGATTCATATTTTACATAGGAATCGCTGAACGATAGTGACACCGTTGAGCTGCAGATTAGCCAAATGCTGAAGGGAAAATTCGTGAAGTTCTTCCTATGTGTTTTGTGAAAATTTGTGAGTTCTAATTGGGTTTGTGGAGTTTCTTCCATTTCAGCCATTGATGGGTTTGGAATTTTGGGTTCTTGGGTTCTTTTTTGTTCTTACTGTTGCTTGGTGTAAGCAATTTTGGTACTCAAACTATAACTTTTAAAAGAGGGAAGATACTCAAACAAAGGAATTTTAGGGAAAATATTTAACCGGTAGTGTGTTGACAGAAATTCAATGTTATCCTAATAATTTGAAAATTAAAATTAAAATAAAGCTTCATGGTTGCTAGTGCGAAAGTACTCACTTTGGGTGGTGGGGGAAGGAGGGCAGCCATGATGGTACAGCCTGGGGAAGATGAAGAAGATGGAAATAATTATAAATTCAAATTTTTTTAAGTCAATAACACGTGTCACGTTATTATTGGTGTGTGATTACACTTGATGAGAAAAAAGTGGTCCAGTACTAAAGAGGTGTGTTTAGACACACTTATAAAAGGTTGAGTATATAAGAAGTTTCCCGTGAAAAAAGGGTGTGTAACAGGGATTTCGGTGCAAGTTTGATGGATAAACTATGTATTTTGCCTTCTTACTTTTTAACCCTTTTTCATCGCATACTAACAGGTTGTTTGGATGGTTGTTACTTATTATCCCAAAACAATACAATGTTTGTTTTGATTGTTTCATTAAAATTGATTGTATTGTTATAAATAGATTTTTATTTATGGTGAATGTCTATATTTAGAGAGATTCTAGGGTTTATTACTTGGTGGCTAAGTCACCCTCTCCCTATAAATAGAGGGTTCTATTCCATTGTAATCCATCCCAAATCAATAAGAATTCTCTCCCTCTACTTTTCTCTGCAATACTCTTCTTCTTCTTTTATTGTTTTATAACACGTTATCAGCACGAGACTCTAACCAATTGAGTAGAAGCTTTGGGATTGAGCATAATGATTGTCAATTATTTCATGAACTTCCTTCATGATTAAATTCTGGATTTAAGGTAAGTATTTTACCGTATTTTTCTCTTTTATTCTATACTTTGATTTTAAATACAAGCAAAGACAACAAAGTTTGATTATAACTCTAATGGAGTTTGTAAGAAATTATAACCACCTGAAGTGGTAAAATTTATATGCCTCGCCATGATCAAATTCATGTATGATTGTGGGTAAAGAATTGAAAACCCGTCCCATTGAATTTGCTCCATTCTCATTCCCTTAAGAGAATGTGATAGCAGTATGTGATAAGTCTGAAAGAAGACAAAATTATTACTATGAATGTATCAATGGATATGGACGTGGCAATAGACGAAATTATAGTCGTCATCATTTGTGGTAATGAGAACAATAAGGATTCTCAAAATAATCTTTCACTCTGTGAATAATATTTGTCATCGACTTGACATGAGATTTTGTAAAGCACATATAGATGATTATAGTCCATTCATGATGCGAATGTGACAACATCTGATTTATGAATACATATTCATTCTTCAAAGAATATGAACGTGCTAGTGGTAGTGAATATACCGCACTCACCTGTAAAAGGAGGTTTGAGGTGATATAAGAAAATAATGTCATTATTATGGCATGAATGGTCATTGGTCACGTACCTATTATACGCCAAAATATTTTGGCATTGTGATTGTTAAAAGACAACGGTAATGCAAGAAATAGATCTTGCATATAATTTTGACCATAACCATAATGGTATAACTTTCTCTTTAAAAGAAATATTCACCATATGGGTGTTGATGACTATGTGGTACTACAAAAATTAATTGAGAACTCTGCAATAGCCAATTATACTATTTTGGAGAAACACAATTAATTACCAATAAGGTATTGTGTTGTAGTAAGTCTCAAAGAAACTTAATTGAGTTTCTAAAGTATTCGCGAAAGCGGTTGGTCATATTGAGACTATAAATAAATGAAAGATTTAATATCTTCTATTACTACAACTTGTAGCTGGGTAATATGTATGTGAAAAGCTACCAGCTTTATTCTCCAATTTGTACTACATAAACAAAAGAATACCACAATGAAGTGGATATTTATTGATATAAAAACTCATATCATAATAAACTTGGAGTTTATTCATAATTGCACACATCATGGTGTAACCTGAAGTTTATCAATATTGATAATTTATCCAGTTGGCATAATTGGTTTAGCCATGTTAATTTAAGTATGATGTGCAAAAATAAAAGAGAATTCACATGGGTAAATATTAAAGAACTAGAAAGTTCTTTACGAATTCTCTTACATTGCTTGTTCTCATTAATTGATAGACCAATTAAAATTGGGAATGAATCCCATGAATGCTGGAAGTATCAAAGGTGAATATGGGCCCATTCACCTGCCATGTATACTACATAAGATGCATTTATGAGATGGTTACATGTGCAATTATTATTTATCCGCAACTTGGTGTTTGCGAGGTAACTTGCTCAATAATTTAATATAGAGCATAATTTTCAGATTTTTTATTCAAGATAGTTCTTCTTGATAAGTTGGTTTACATCACAGTTGGTTTAGCAAAATAATATATTGAGTACCTCCACTTAATAGCTAAACTATTGCTTATGAGAACAAAGTTACCTATATCAGTTTGATATAGGTTATATACGAAAGTATATTACATTCTCCCCTCACAAGTGGTTTCAGGGTCAGGAACCAAATAATTCCATGCTAATTATATAATGTGCGGTGTATTATTTTGATTAACACCATAAGGCACAAAGATGGGTTCTCAAAGTTGAGGAAACGAGTTAGTTTTTTAACATGAGGGGAAACACAGATACAACAGTTGAGAAAAAGTTACATGGAATGAATTATCATTTATACATTAGATCCTCGATAAAAATAATATGAACTTGAAGTTCATAAAGGATAATTCATGTGCAATTTATTGCAAAGCAGCCAGACGCATTTGCTGACCCAAAGAAAGTAACTATATTCTCATTGCAAATGCTCCTATTAGAATAAGTCCTAGAAAGGACAAAGTTTATAGTACACTTAAAGCATATAGACAAATCGGTTTCAAATAAACTTCTTGATAAAGAAGGATGAGCAATGATCAAATGATCATAATAAAGGAGGCAAGTGATCTAGAAGATCACATGACATAACACTTCATAAAATCTCAAGAGAGATTCAGGTACCTGAAAATATGAATGAAGAGATCTCTATGTTATGTCTTTATGAAAGAATATTGAAACTGATATAAAATTTTGTCGACGACATCTATGATAGCGCTAATATAATATATATATATAATATATATATATATATATATATATATATATATGAGGATCTTAAGTCTAAAGAGACAATTCAAATAGAATTAGTTTCATATGAAAACCATGTAGTTTTGGACATGTAGTTCAAACACTTGAAAGTATAAGTCAATGGTATGTGCAATCAGTTTTCGATATCTTATATGTCTAGAATGACATGAAAATTTGATATGCATCTAAAGTCTATTATATGGCTTATATAACTTAACAATCCCTAAAGGATTTAAATTGCTTAAAGCATATAGAATTCATGGTGATGAAGTACTACATCCTCAATGCAATTTGTGCATAAATGTATCTTGCTAACTATATGCATGATAATATGATAGCAAGAGCTTTCACCTCTATGTGAAGATATTGAACTGACGATTCCAACAAGATCATATGAAGACAATCCATCTCTATCAAGAATGATGATTTCAAGGTGCAATATATTCATTCAAGTTAATATGGCTGATTTGTTTATCAAATATCTACCAAAGATCTTTTGAAGATGGTGCACAAGATTGGAATGCAAATGCTTAAGGATGTGAAGTGATGTTCTCATGAGGGGGAGTTAATACGCGTTGTACTCTTTTTCCCTTACAAGGTTTTGTCCCACTGGGTTTTCCTTGCAAGGTTTTTAACGAGGCAACAAAAAGGCGTATTATTAGATATGTGTACTCTTTTTCCTTCTCTAGAATTTTTTTCCCGCTGGGTTTCATTTTAGTTAAGATTTTAACGAGGCACATTATCTGTTGAATAGACATTCAAGGGGGAGTGTTATAAATAGAATTTTATTTATGGTGAATGTCTATATTTAGAGAGATTCTAGGGTTTATTACTTGGTGGCTAAGTCACCCTCTCCCTATAAATAGAGGGTTCTATTCCATTGTAATTCATCCCAAATCAATAAGAATTCTCTCCCTCTACTTTTCTCTGCAATACTCTTCTTCTTCTTTTATTGTTTTATAACATGTATTGTATTGTTAAATCCATTGTTCCGGAATAATAAAAAGTTCCATTTTTTGAAACAATCAATTTGGTGTGGTGGGATTGTTTCCTATTTTTCTTTCCAATTATACCTAACGTA